GTGTTTGGAGGTTCAGTTCTAGAAGCACATCCTTCTCTCTCTCTCTGTGTGTGTGTGTCTCTGTGTGTGTGTGTGTGTGTGTATAAAAATATATATATAAATTTTATATAAAAAAATATAAATATGGTTCTAAACCCGCCCAGATACCCATTTAGTGTTATAATCCAGAACTGAAGAAACAAAAATAGTGAAAACAAGGATCCAACACCAAGAATTATTTAATGTAGGAATTTCACATTAGCAGATAGAGCAACACATTATACCAAAAAAAGGGTATAATTTACAATATTACATTGCATAGGTAAGTGAAAGAGATGAGGTTAAGAAGAAAATGTAACAGTTCTTGGAGGCAATTATTCTAGATCTGTTCTAGAATTGCCCATTCTAAGATCAAAGATCTGAATTACCAATGAGTTTAATATTTTAAGCGTTTAGGCAATGCTTTTGGGAGCAGTCTACAATAGGTTCCTCATATGTGATAGAACAGTTCACATATCATACTAACCAATCAGCTGCACATCCACTTCCTCCTCTTGCACACTATGCTTAGTTATCTCATGGCTTGTAGAGGACTACACTTTACAGTTATATCTGAACTGATGAGGTGTAGTTTGCATTTTTTCCTCCAAGAAAGTTTGCAATTCTGATATGGAGGGGAAGATACCAACTAGACTTTGCCAGTTTGAATGGCAAACAACTAAAAAAATGGTTTGCCACAATGTAATCACTAATTTAGACAGAACACATAAGAAGGATTATAGTTAAGTATAAGAACGCAGGGCTTGCTCTTGTAGCACCAAACAATGGCTTGGTGTTACATAAAATCTACCAGTGACAGTGACTTGTCTATGGTGCACAAGAAGGCCTTGCTTTCAAGCAAAGCGTCTAAGATTCTGATGGATTTTTGGACACCTTCCTGTCAGATTCTTCTCAGTGTAGCAAAAGGCGACCAAATCAAGGTAAGAATGGGAACTTCACACTTAAGGAGTGTTCCTCTCTGCTGCTTTCCCTACCTCACTCTTCTTTGCATAATCTCAGTCTTACCTATGACCTCACAATGTTAGCAGCTATTTTATTGTTTGGCTCAAATTACTGACAAGTAGATTTGGGGGTGTCTGTATTTGTAGCCTGCAACAGAACACCCTGTATATATCAGCAATACATTTATTTGGCAGGGTCCTACAGATTTAGAAGCCTACCCCTTTAAAAGAGGAGAAAAAGCTCAGTCCTTATAGTTAAAGAACCCAAATATCCACCCTATCCTTAAAAATCAAACCAGCTTTGTTCCATATACTGTACCTTCACTATTTTGGCAAAAGTAACCTACTGAAATTTAAAAACAAAACCTCAGCATGAAACAAAAAATAGCATATAGCCTTCTCTTTTTTGGGGGTAATGAAACTCATGTTACAGAAAGTTTCAGATAGCAGTGTGTTTTCTGGTAAGATGGCAGAAGTATTCACCTAGCCCAATGCTGATTCCTGACCCTTCAAGAGCAGGGAGAAACTTAGCAATTTCAAGCTGTTACAATATTGCTATGGTCTTTTTTTTACTCAAACAGCAGCACTGCTGTATCAGTGCATCCTCCTCCCACATGTGTTTTTCTGTTATCAACAAAAGAAAAAGGAAACATTTCTTTTATTAATTTGACAGCCTTTCCGCCCTCCCAATGAGCAAGTCAGCTGCCTTCCACATTAACAAGCTCCTCTGTCTTTTAGCATTCTTCCAATAGATTGTTAGTCATTAAACTGTCAGCTCCTTGGCCCTGCCTGAAAATGTGAGTCAGAGCCTGGATTGCAAACAATGGAAATGTAATGGTGGTGCTGGGGGAGCTTCATCCAAAATGTTCTCTCAGCACTGATGAGAAAATAAGAGTGGCACTCTCAGGGCAAGTACATTTAGAAATGGAATCACTAGTCCTGTGAGAGGAGGAAGATGTAACTGATTCAGAAGAGTGGGTAGAATTCAAATAAGGAGGCCTGTTATATTTTGTTAAAGGGAGACACTTTCTAGAGATTAACAGCACAATTTCTCTATACCTTTGATCTAAAATGTGTCAGGATAGCTCAGGGATTGGACAACTGGTATGAGAGTGGCCCCAGCAATCTATGGGAGATAGTTAAGTGTACTAATCCTCTTCCAATCCTGGTCATAACCACAGAACTGCAATTTCCAAAGATCATAAGAGGAGCCTAGCTGCAAACAAGAATTAACTATAGTGGATACTAATGGGAACTGCCAGATAAAAAAACAAGACACATTACAAATAGCCTCGCTAAAAACAAAACATCATCAGTAGACATGAGCATAGACAGAGGTTGCAAACCAAGTCTCAAATAGTTGTCAAAAAGGTGAACAGCTGGGAACAAAAGTAATACTAAACAAGCATCTCTTCAAGGACAGGCTACACTCCAAATATCGTCCAGTCCATCAACATATGGGCAGACAGAAATGTCCTTATAAAAGAAAAAGTCTTGTTATTCTGGAAGGCACATAGCTGTAGATCAGGCTCCAGTAAGTGAAGTTAGAGACACCTAGGAGTCCTGACACTTAGCTTATAGCTTGGAGTAAACAGATATTATCCACAAGTTTGCAATTCTCATTGGACATATACACCATCAAATAGAAGCTCAAGTGGAAGACTCTTGTTTTGAAGTTCCACGAAATCAAGTATGTTTGCAGGCATCCTAAGTCAGAAGAAGAAAAAATTAACAGATCTGTCCCGTGCTTCAGGAGACTACAGACACACATAATCAAAAGCCCTGATCAAAAGCTTTTACTTCCTATTGTAAATACATCTGGGGCACCAATGAAGTGACATACATTTAACTTTTAGTTGTGTGGTGCAAGTTCACAGACTTCATGGCAAAGAAGAGAGCATGAGATTACAGGAGGTCATTCCACCCAGGTCACTTGTTATAAAGATTAACGTATATGCAGCTCCTTTAAATATATTAAAACTGATCTCACCTCTTTCCTGTGCTCAAGAGATTTCAGCTTAGCTCGTATCACATTAATTGCTGGAGAAGAAGCAGGTATCTGCAACTAAACAAGATGCAAACTGAGACTCTTTGAACTTCACTATGACCTCTAAAACTTAGTTTTAGAAAACTAAACTAATTTTAAACTAAACTTTAAAACTAAGATAGTTTTAGAATCTCATCAATTATCCTTGCCTTGATTTAAATTAACTTATTTAATCAATTTACTAGTCCCCTTAGTTGTCAAAGCAATTCTAAGCTTTTGACATTAATTTCTCCATGCCACAGTTTTACCGCACCATCTGGGAAATTTAGTTCTCCCAGGAAACAAAATGAAATCTATTCCAGCACCCCCCAGACTTGTGCCTTGAGGTGCATTAAACCAAAACTCAGAACTTCCGTGTTGATTGAGAACTCTAGGAGTTGAGAAAGGCTGTTTTACTGTGAAGAAAATATCTAATTCCAAATATGTTAATAAAACAATATAGAGGTTTAAAACCTAACACTTTATATTTAGGAATGGGAAAAACAGCTCTTAACTACAGGAGTAAGAAAGAACCCAGGAAAGGAGAGCAGAAGAGGGCAGGACAAATGAATATAATCTGCATCACAATCACAATGAAATTATGAGCTACATAATTAAGAAGCAGCCCTATAATTTTGGTAAAACACCAGATATATTACTATGATGACTGATAGGCTGATGAAATGCCACAGATACAATAGCAAGTTTGAAATTGGGCAATGTTGGAGGCACCATAGTTGAGGCATCATTACGTCGGATTCTATATCCCCCTTTAGTCCATAGCCATTCCCACATCAATGGTGCAACTTCCTATTTGGTGCACAAAATTTCCCTAAAATTGTTCTGTTGCCAACTAGTTAAGGAATCTGGCAATTCTTGTACCTGTACACCATAATTCACGTTGTTCAGTTTAAAAGTACCAATACACCACTTTTTGTTTTTGTTGTTTGATGGAGTTTAATGGATTGGGTCCATTTTTCCCCACTACTGCACAGTGCAAACTGTTTCAGCCAGTTTTGGGATCAGACACTTTTGAGACAGCTTGATGTTAACTGGGCTCCATTACTGTTTTTTCTGGTAAGCCTATCAGTGTACAATAGGAGCTAGATACTGTTGCTTTTTATATGTAACTGAATGAATTCTAAGACTGGGACGTTTGTGCAATGCTTAAGATCTCAGGCATATTCCCACAGAGCTGCTTGGAGAATATCAGAATATATATGTCTTTTTATCTGATTACTGTATTCTGCCCAGAGTCACTTCAATGATATGGGCGGCAATATAAATTTAATAAATAAATAAATAAATAAATAAATAGCTTATTTATATTACTAGACTTATTTGTTTGGAGTACTCTTATATCATACATGCCTGCTTTCTTGAAATGTGCTTGCAGGTGGTCCTTGCTTAACGAGTGCCCTGTTTAGTAACCATTTGAAGTTATGACAGCATTGAAAAAGTAAAATTTATGACCAGTTCTCACACTTACAACTGTTGCAGTGTCCCCATGTCATATGATCGAGATTCAGGTGCTTCACAGCCAGCTTCCAACAAGCAGAGTTAATGGAGAAGCTGGCAGTAAAAGCGCAAGTCACGGTCACATGATGTCTTACTTAACAACCATGGGTGATTTGCTTAATGTCTGTGGTAGAAGTGAGGTTGTAAGTCTGCTGCGTGATGTGTCACTTAATGACTGTGTCACTTAGCAACAGAGTTGCTGGTCCCAACTGTAGTCATTAAGCAAGGACAACCTGTATTTGTTTCCTCTCCACTACATTTCTTCCTCCAATATTGGCTAAGCATGATTTGGATGTGGAAGCTATTTTGTGGGTACACTTCCAGCCCCAATATAACTGCAGTAAAGGATTGGTTGGTATATTATTTATTTATGCCAATAAGACCCCTGAAAATTAGAACTGGTTCTAGACTCCCATTGTTCTCACAATAAATTAGGGAAACAGAATAATGTAGATACACATAGAAAGTACTAGTAAGATCATATGCCATATACAGATAGTCCTTGTTTAGTGACTGCCTCGTTTAGCAACCGTTCACAGTTATGACAGTGATGAAAAAATAACTTTGCAGCCAATCCTCACATTTACGACCTTCACAGGTCTGTAAAGCAAAGGAAAGCTGAAGTAAGATCATGAGCAGTCACAGTTTCACTTAGCAACCCCTTTGCTTAACAACCGGGTTGCCGGTCCCAATTGTGGTAGCTAAATGAGGACTACCTGTATTTCTTTTAAATAAATAAATAAACGAATTTCCCTTTGCCAAATAGATTCCATTAGTTAATGCAGGAGAGACCCTTCTTCCAGCAAACCTTACCATGCTGACATTCTCCTTACTGCCATGCTTTGAATCCTTAGTGCTTGCAGATTCTGTAACAGTATCATTTTTCTTTTTGTCTAAAATCACTTGACTTCCCAGCACTTTACGCTGCATTTGGAAAAGAAAAATACTATTTTGAACTGTGATAGGGAGTAGAAAAGTAAGGGAACGATATTTATTTATGGAAATTTCCAGCACAATGACAGGTACATATAAATGTTTCACAAATGGGTGAAAAGTCAGTGAGTTTTTTTCTATACTTTCAGTATCTGCAGAGATGTTTCAACTCCGGATCCCACATTTGGCCAAGCAATATGTGTCCTTTTGGAAGAAGATGAGTAGTCTAATGCTGCCCCTCTATACCATGGAAAGCTTATTAAAATGAAATCCTATTATTTCTTATTAAGAAGTGGAGGAGGCGAGAAAAGAGAACACAATAAAATGAGATAGAAGAACATATTTTCAGCTTTCAAAAGTGCCCATAATGGATCAGCATCTAAGGTATCTAAGAGGCATCTTATGCAGTGCCTTTACACCAGAAAATTTTGGTAACAGTAGAATAGATTTTACCTTGATTAGGCCACTGAAGGAACGAGTACGGGCACGTTTCTGAATCTGTGTGGATATAACTGTCTGAGGAGTAAGGGCTTCAGGGTGCTTCTGAAACTAGGAGAACAAAACCTAATAGCACAATTCATTCATGATGTTGTCCAGTATCCATGCCAAAGCCCACTTCTACTTTCCATTCATGCCTTAATCTCCCATGCTTTAATCTCTCTCATTAACTTGAGACAAGGATACCTAAAGATTGCTTTCTCCCACACATGGTTACTTACCTAACTTGAGCCTGAGACATTCCGTTTGGAGCCTGCTGCCAAGAGGACTAAGATAAATAACTGCCAGACAGCTTACTGGACGGAGATAAAGTTGCTGTGAAATGCCTTTCTTGGGAGGCTCAGTGAGACAGATCAGTCTGATATTAGGTGATGCCTTCGGGTCTTTTAATAATCTGTGATCCTTTGTATTTGGAACCACTATACGATATAGCCTATATTATTGTAAAAATGCTTTTATTGCTCTCTTGCACTCTCTCTCTCTCTCTCTTGGGAGCTTTTCTGTTGCATTTGCTCTTTCATAACACTGTGGTTTGCCATTATTTTTATTTTGTGAGGTGAGCCATAGAGTCAAAATAACAATATCAAAAATAATAATCTTACCTGCTGAATAAGCTTCTTTTTCTTGGCAGAGTCTGGCATATTATGAACATGGCAGAAAAGCTCTTTCAGTGCTTCTTCTGTATGCTGCTGTGTGTCTTCCTGGTGGGCAGAAGGATCTAAGAGCCCTCGCTTTTTGAATTTCAGAAGCTGAAAGTCTTTGAAACTCAGGGGCATTGGCAAATCCAGGTCATCCTTTGGAAATTCAAACAGGATATTAGGCAGTTTGCCCTAAGTGGCCTTATTCTATAAAGCCGGTAATTATTTCAGTGAAAGTCTTTCATGAGAATATTTCCAATTTGAACCTTAGATCCAGTAATAGAACAATATCTGCCAGTCCTGTCTGGAGCCTGATCCTCCTTTCTCCTCTCTTCAGATATTGTACATTGTAACCAAGGTCTCTAAAATGGTCTTATTTTGTTGACAGTTGAATAAAAGGTTGTGCAATTTTCCAGAACATTTTTCCCAGACCACAGATGGAGAATATATGCATTACTCCAAAATCTCCAGAATGGTTCTCGGCAGATGCCATCCCCCACCCACCTCACAATCCCAGCAAGTCCATCACAGAGCTGCCATGGGTTATTTAGGCCATCAATATCTAATCCCTTCCCAGTGAGGAATCCAAATGTATAAATTTATGTATCTAATTTAGATTTATCCTGCCTTTATTCTGTACAACTCAAGGCACTTTACATAATGCTCCCTCCTCCTATTTTCCCACAATAACTCTGTGAGGTTGGTTGGACTGTGTGTGTGTGACTGGCCCAAAATCACCCTGCCAGCTTCCACGCCTAGGGAGGACTAGAATACATGGTATCCTGGTTTCTAGTCAAGCATCTTAATGACTACACCAAATCGGCTCAAATTAAAGCAATCCAGAAAGATGGTTGTCTAGGCAGCCATTCATAAATGACTAATGGCTATCATGTGTATATTGGACCCCTCATACTGAACCTAGCACCAGATACAATTTTAGGGTTAAAAAAAATCACCCATCATATTTGAAATAGAGATAATTTATAAGAGTATATAACAAGCTAAATGCTAAATCTAAAAACTAATTGTGCCATTGCTGTCTTCTCAGAACACAGATCTCCACAACAGAGTCGCTCAGCATTTCTTGTTATCAAGAAGAAATCTGTTTCAGGTTTCAGTTTGCTGTCCTGACTATGCCTAAGTTGTATTCTTCCTCCCATAAAAGATGCCACAACTTCTTACCTTTGAGGCATGAGTTCTGGAGTCCAAGTAATGCAGCCTGGCACACTCCCGGATATATACTGGAGCCTTACAGTGCAAATGAAAAAAAGTCAGGCAAAGATGAATCAAACTGCTCTTGATACTCATTGTTATTAAGGGTTTTTGGTGAACTCTGCCTTTATTAAGCAGTCCTATTGCACTTTTTCTGATCAGTTATTGATTTGGTTATTAGGCCAATAAGACACATAGTTTTACAGGAACTGGCAAGCACTGACTAGTGATTTCCAAGGATCCTTCTGATTATCTTGTTCCTTCAAAGAGATACATGTCAAAGATGGTTCCAATTAATTCTTCACGAAGAAAAGATCAGTTTTGGTTTGACATAATTCCAGTATGGTCAAGAAAGGGACTCTCTGGCCCATAGGCCACACACAACTCATGGAGCCTTTGGATCTTGCTTGCAACCTTCTCTCCTTTACTTTATTCCCCTTAGTATAGCAACTGGGCTTAGAAAAAAAGGGACCTTTCTTCCTAATTGCAAATTGGAACTTAATTTTTCATAAGCAGAACTGTCATGTGAGGTGACCGATTTTAAGAAATGGCTGGCAGTTATAGTTAACATTTCACTCATCCTTTACACTGCCATATCTGCCTGCTGCCATTAGATATACAAGCTCCAAGTGAATGGAGATTTTTTTCTTAAAATAATTATTGTGCAAAGTGAAGGGAAAAGAAAGAATGAGGAATGAAGGTGATTTTAATGACTATGTGTGGATGGATGGATTTATGACAATAGGTATGTACAGTATATCACCTTTGGGGTGCAATTCCAACTGACTGACTCCAAGTCTAGAAAATGTTACCCATCCTTACTTTATGGGTAGAAGGCTCAAAGAGTTCAAAACTGTGTTGTACTTTCAGATATAATACGTACTATCAGATGTTGACTTTAATAAAGGGGTTTCATTTCATTTGCTAAGAGACTTTAGCCTAATTAAAGACATCATACATTATGCATACATCAGCCCAAAGAAAAAAGAACATTCTTTAAAGGTCTAATAACCAAATCAATAACTGATCAGAAAAAGTGCAACAGGACTGCTTAATAAAGGCAGAGTTCCCCAAAAACCCTTAATAACAATGAGTATCACCAATATCTGGCACTCACACATAGAAATTATTTTTTAAAAACTTCCATATGTGGAAGATAATTTTGTAAAAATATGTAAATGCCAGAGAGCCCAACAAAGGAAACAAGTAGAACCTTCAAAAAAGCAGAGCCAGGCTGGGCATCTTATAGTTCATAGTTTGTTCATAGCACACACTTTCCCCCAATGAGTAATGTCATCAGACAATTGGACAGCAGAGTTGGAGATTAGCTCCTCTCTCTATGTGATCTTACTTTGAAGAGTTTTTGTGAGTGCTTGATCATGAAAGCCATCCCATTATTCAGTTTGGTAATGTTTTCCTGCAGATCACTGGTAGTCACCTAGCAACAGATGCAGAATAACAGGAACAGGTTAAGTGAGTTGCAAAATCACGGACAGAGGCAGGCTTATTTTAATGGGTGAAATACAGCAGCTAAACTATTGAGCTCCTCCATCCTTCCTAGCCAGCCCCTCCCCTCTCCCCCTTCTTTTTACTGTTATATGAAAAAGAATACTTACATTTCGGGGCCACAAAATATGAGGTGCAAACATAAGAGCAAGGTTATGTGCTGACATCTTGTTCCTATCCTGTTTTTTGGCTGTCTGATAGAGCAGATCCAATAGCAATTTGAGCAGACTGCGATTGGGAGCTGGTAAGATCAAGAAGAGCAATTGCAGCACTTCAATCTGACGCTCTTTATCTGGAATGTTGGTCTTGTTGCCCTTGTCATCAAACTGCATCAGATCTATAATCCAGGAATCAGGAGAACATCTGTTACACATGGCTGGCTAAAAGAAATCTCAGCCTCAGGAATTCCATCAAGTTCTTAGAACTATTCCTTTTCAATTTCCCATTACATTCTTTTGCATTTGCTAAAAGACTTCTCTTTTAAGCACAATTAAAAATCCCCAAAGCTTCATATTTAAATATCCCTGCCATTGGTCTGAATAGGGGAGTATCAGGGTCTCCAGACTTTTTAAACTACCAGATGAATTAGGAATGGCATGGATCTCTTTCAAAAGTATCCTCAGGGAAGAATAAATAACAGATAAAATTGCCTAGTTAGTGTTGATTACCTGAAATTTTAAGGTGTGCATGGAAATGTTTGTGAGTCAACAAAGGCTCTGGTAATTCTCCCAGGAACATCTTCAACAAAGTGGCCACATCATTGGAATGAAACTCGCCTGAATCCAAGTCAATCTCTGTCCCACTGTTCAAAGCTTCTTTCAAGTTCTGTTGCCTAGTACTGTTTCCTGGCACTCGGAACAAGCCTTCTGTCCGTAAATCTGCACCATGATAGGAGAGGTATTAAACATATGCCAGATACAATATGGTAACTGCTACCATTCCTAATTTTATATCTGGGTCTAGAGTTTTCTTTGCTGCAAATAAGTGATTGTCTGGATTTTTGCAGTCCAGGATCTGATGGCCCTATTCATATCTTTCCTCTTTTTTTCAAATCTCTCCAGAGTCCTAGTAGAAGAGTCAGTGAATTGTACAAAATCAAATGGAAGGATTCAGGTTGTCTTTTGGGGGGTTCAAGATTACCAAGGACAGAAGGCAATAGGAATTATGGAATGCAATGAAGGAAAAATGTTCAAAAGAAAACTCAGAGTCTAGCTCAAGACTTGATTCACAAAGCAAGAGTGTCTTTCTTGAGTGCAAACATTTGAGTGGAGTTCACATATGTCCTATTATTCAAACAGGACTTGAAAGAAGCAGTCCTGAAAACTATGAAAAGCAGTTTTTACACATTTATGCCCTCCAATTTCCTATTAGCCAATACGGAATCACAGTTTTATCTTTAATTTATCTTTTATATACTTTTTGTCATATCTCATTCATATATATTTTTGTTGCTGAGCCTGTATGTTCTCATATTATATCACAGAATAATAATTTAAATTTATGTTCAGATTGTGTTCTTTTCTAGTTATGACTACTAGTTTACTGGGACAAGCTTGAGAGACATAAAATAGAAACTATTTTCAGAAGGAGAGAAGAAAATGTTCAGATCTAGAAGCAAATGTAGAAAGTTTGTACAAATCAAATCTGTGCCTCAGACTATTCCACAATCCTTAACAAAGATAGAAAGATCTCCAAAATTACTTACTCTTATGCAAATACTCAATGAGTTGAGATATTTGAGCAATACCTTCTTCAGTCAGTGGTGCTCCAAATACTACCCCTTTCTCTGGAAATTCAAAAAAGCAACAAAGATATGATCAAAGAGAATATTAACTAATAGAAGAGAATACATGTAGCTCAGGGTTGAACTATGGAGTCCTTGGGGTTCTCTGAGCTTAGTTGTTTTCTTGCAAACATTTCATTACCTGGCTAGGTAACATCTTCAGTGCTAGAATGGAG